ACTACAGAAATAAACTGTGGTAAAAGACATTTCCACTTTGTATGAAACATTAAAGAAAAAAATGCTTGAAGAGAGCACTAGAGCACTGCCTAATGAGAAGTGAAAGAAGTGGTAGAATCGAACAGAAGGAGTCATGTGTGTCAAGAGGGTGAGTCACAATCCTATTGGTGGAGGGTTGACATATGATGATTTACAAGTGAGACATAGTTCAACCAAAATGATCATGGAATAGGTAGGAAAGCAAGACTTGTGGTATGTGAAAAAAAATTTTACACATAGAGGACTCCACTGAATGAGAATAGCTATATATGTGAAAGAGGGAATTGTACCATATCGTAACTCTTACACTTTTCTTTTTTTGTTGCAGAGATCAGTTAACTTTACACTGATATAACCTTGGATTACTACAGATGACCTTAACAGAAAAAATTGTGGTGCCAGTGACACAGATGTTAATATTTTCTTAAATTAAAAATGTATTTCCAATAATACTTACCTCATCTCACAATTACAGTTATTACTTGGCCGCCCGGGTTTCTTCATATGCCCACCTCATTCAGATAATGTTATCATTTTTTCGAGACTGACTCAATCCCAGTCTTTAACATCGGCTCTAACTGAGGAGGAAGAGTGGAAGAGTGTCAGTGAAGGCAAGTATTATTGGAAATACAATTTCAAGTTAGGAAAGTGTTAGCTTCCAAAATATACTTATCTCCACTCACACTTACACCTAGAATTCCACATTGAAAAGGTGGTGGGGCTGTTGAGGACATTATCCATATAGAAAGCATCTGCATGAATCATGGGTGTGTCAACAGAAGATTGACACCCAAGTGTGAGAACTGCACTACATCCAGAACAGGTATACTCTTCACCCAAAAATTTATTCATCTCCTATGGGTGGAATTTTCCATGATTTGTCATCACTATTGGCCAAGCCCCAACAAGATAATCAAGGTTCCACTACTCGAGGTTAGAATAATAGGGCCATGATCCCTGTATCAAATGTCAGTGACTAAGGCAATTGGACCACAATAAATACTTATGTTTTTTTTGTAATTAATGACAAAGCTACACAAGCTCTGCCCATCATGGGTATTCAAACCCAGTTTCTACAGTTGTAAGCCTGCAGACATATCACTGTGCCACTGGAGGGCATATACTTATGAGTAGATCCCAATGCATAGCCATAGATTGATGTGTTCTGAGCCACAGGAATCAGGACGACAAGGTAAGCAACACTGAAGTGGCCAAACCTTCTCCTCAACTTGAAGAAGTCAGAAAGGCAACACTCCAGGCTCAGAATGACAGGATCATGTATGCCTTACTCAACTTACGGAAACAGAACTCATCCAGTCTGAAAGGTAACTTCGAGTTGCCCACAGAATTATGGGGAAGATATGGAACAAATTGTGCTCAACCAAGGAACCAGAATGGGACCTTCTTCCATGAACAATGTACTGAACTAATATTCATCAAAAAGAAAGGCCATTCTCAACCCAACCGGATAGC